CTTAGTTTTATCTCTTGAACTAATTGCGTTTAGGAAGTAGGTTCATCATTACTTGAAAATGTTGTTGTTGTTGTTAAGTACCGTGGAGTCTGTTCCGACTCATAGCGACCCTGCACAGGGTTTCTGAGGCTGTAAATCTTTACAGGAGCAGAAAGCCTCATCTTTCTCCTGTGGAACAGCTGGTAGTTTCCAACTGCTGACCCTGAGGTTAGCAGCCCGATTCGTAACCACTATGCTACCAGAGCTCCTTAATAAACCTTAGAATGAAAAAAAAAAAAAAGTATCTACATTAAGAAATTTTATATTAAAATTACAATGCTTGCTTTCCCAAAGTTAAAGTGATTTTAATATTCAAATACAATAGTAAATTTTTAATTTACTATACCACAATTCAAGTATTCTTTTAAATGTTTATTTAGCCAATGAATACATGATATTAAGTGACTTTCTCTAATAGTGTTTCTTTAAGAAGATGACTGTTATACAAAATAGTGTGATTCTATGATGCTAAATCACTTACAGTAAGTTGAAAGAATAAAGAGCAGTACACAAAGACAGACTTTTTTGATTAAGACATCAACACATAAAAGGTTGTACACTTCTACATGTACATGACATGTCTAGTCTTTAGGGGGGAGATATTTGGAACTGACTCAATGACACTTAGCAAAAATAAGTAACATTTGTCATTGTGGTGTTGGGTTTTATAGAGTTTTCTGGAAGGCTTCTGATCCTGATTGATACTGTGGGTCTTGGAGAAAGAAGTCTGAGTTGTCATATTATATCCCATCTGGGAGAGCGTCATAGAATGTCTCCAGGAAGGCTAACTTCCTAAATGTCATGACCCTTTTCCCCTACAGCATCCCTCTTCGCCGAGTCCACCCTGGATCCAGGACCCTGAGTCCACTGAGGGGGTGGACAAAGCCAGCAGAACATGTCAATTTAGAGGCCTCATCTCCTGGGGGCAAGTCTACTTTTGTACCTCTTTCTAACTACATGAATGTGAGTCAGAGCTTCTTCCTAAGACTCCCACACCCCATTGCCTTCCAGCCAAGCTCTTCATTCAGTCTCTCCTCTTTTACCATCAGGCCCAATATTTTGGGGAAATTGGGCTGGGAACACCCCCTCAGAACTTCTCTGTGATCTTCGACACTGGCTCCTCCAATCTCTGGGTCCCGTCCAAACGATGCCACTTCTTAAGTCTGCCCTGCTGTGAGTTTTCATGGGGGGAGGATAAGGCAGGATGGGGGTGGAGGGAGGACATGGGCGATGGACCTCAGCTTCCCAAAGGGTTTTGAGGCCCCATCTTGTCTGACATAACTCTAACAGGGCATTGGGGTAAATCGTATTGATACCTCCCCGACTTTCTGATGTAGGGTTCCACCACCGCTTCAACCCCGACGCCTCCAGCTCCTTCCAGCCCAATGGGACCAAGTTTGCTATTCAGTATGGAACTGGAAGACTCAGTGGTATCCTGAGCAAGGACAAGCTGACTGTAAGTGACCCTGTGAGCCTCAATCCCATAAAGGCTTGAGCCTGGGAGCGTCCCAATGTCTACCATATTTGGTCTGGGAAAGTTTGAGGAAGTGGGAACTTATTGGTGAAGGGGCAGGGCTTAGCTAAAGGGAGGTGGGATTTCCTGGAGAAGGGGTGGGGCTTCTCAAGAAAAGAGGTGGTACTCTCTGGCTGAAGGGGTGGGCCTTCCTTGTGTGTGGGGGGCTTCTGGGTGGGGGCGGGGCTTCCCAAGGAAAGTGGCAAAATTTCCCAGGCAATTGGCACTTTTCCCCAGATGTTCCCAAATGTGGGATTCATTCCTTGGTTTGTGGGATGTTGGGATATATGGGTAATGTGACTCCAGAAATAATTGGCCCTATCTGAATCCATCCCTAGATTGGGGGAGTCAAGGGTGCATCAGTGGTGTTTGGGGAGGCCCTATGGGAGCCCAGCCTGATCTTCACTTTTGCCCGCTTCGATGGGATATTGGGACTTGGTTTTCCCAAACTGGCTGTGAATAGAGTTCGACCCCCGCTGGATGTATTGGTGGACCAGGGACTACTGGACAAGCCTGTCTTCTCCTTTTACCTCAACAGGTATTGGGGGGAGGGATCTACCTTCCTGTAACTCCTAGCATCAAGAAGTTCTGCGCTCCTGAAAGTCCCTTACCCAATAAAATGACACCCCGCATTAGGAAGTCAATGACCCAACGTAGTTCCACCCCACTCAATAAGGGATCTACATACAGGAATGTCCATTCTCCATTCCGGAAGTCATTGACCCCTTATAGGAAGTCGTGCACACTCTCCATTCAGGAAACCATTCAGCCAACACCGGAAGCCCCATCCTTCATCCCGGAAGTCACCAGCTCAATATAAGAAAGGCCAGCCCGCCATTCAAAAGTTCCACCCATTAAGAGAGAGTTTAAGATGTACTCAAGAAATTCACTACCAGCTCAAAATGCTTCATGTTTCAAAGCCCAATACAGGTAATTCCTACCCAACCAAATACAATGGAGGAACCCACTCTTCACCATTACAAGAAAACAAGAATTCTATTTGAGAACACCCACTAGATGTCTGGAAGGAGCTCTGGTAGCATAGTGGTTACGAATTGGGCTGCGGGGTCAAGGTCGGCAGTTCGAAACTACCAGCGGTTCCGCGGGAGAAAGATGAGGCTTTCTGCTCCTATAAAGATGTACAGCCTCTGAATCCCTGTACAGGGTCGCTATGAGTCGGAACCGACTCCATGGTACCTAACAAGAACAACTAGATGTCAGGAGTTGCCAAATTTAATCCAGGCGTCCCACCCACCTATTAGGAAATCCAAGTTTATGTTCAAAGAGTCTTACCCACCACTCAGGGTCAGATTATCCCGCACCAGAGTCATTTACCCTGGGCCCAATGGACTCAGGAAATTCTCTTTCCCTTTTGTAGAGTTGGCTCTTGTATTTTAAAAGTCTAAAGTGTTCTGTGGACTCCTGGTGTGGAGCTGTAGGATAAGCACTTGACCGCAAGGTGGGTCAGAACTGACTAGATGGCACTTAACAACAACAACAAAGTGTCCTGCTGGTACACTGGCTTTAAGCACTGGACTGCTAACCAAAAGATCGGTGATTCCAACCCACCAGCTGCTCCCCAATAGAAAGATGAGGCAGCCCCACTTCTGTAAAGCTTTGTTGTTAAGTATCGTTGAGTTGGTTCTGACCCATAGTGACCCTGTCTGTATAGCATTTCCAAGGAGCAGCTGGCGAAGCTTGAACCACCAACCTTGTGGTTCAAACCGACTTTGCAGTCCAGCGCATTAACCCACAGAGCCACAGCAGGAGTTCATAGCCTTGAAAGTTCACTGGGGCAGCTCTACTGTGCCCTCTAGGGTCGTTATGAGTTGGAATCAACTCAAGAACAGTGGAGTTTGGTTTATCCTCCACCTTCCAGGAAGTCTCCAGCCCCTCTTCCTGTCACTCACAAGTAGCCCCCTCAGGATACCCAGAGCCACTGCCGCCATCAAGTCCATTTGCCTCATAGGGACCTTATAGCGCAGTATAGATCTGCCCCATAGGATTTTTGAGGCTGTAAATACTTCAGACATATTGTTAGGAGGGACCAGTCTCTGGAGAAGGACATCATCATGTTTGGTAAGGTGGAGGGTCAGAGAAAAAGAGGAAGACCTCCAATGAGATGGATTGGCCAAGTGGCAGCATTGATGGACTCAAGCGTGGTAACAATAGTGAGGTTGGCCCAGGATCGGGCAGTGTTTCGTTCTGCTGTGCATAAGGTCGCTAAGAGTCAGTACTGACTTGATGGCACCTAACAATAACAACAACAACAACAAATACTTTATGGAAGCAGACTGCCTCATCTTTCTGCCAGTGGATTTGAACCACAGACCTTCCCATTAGTAGCCCATACTCAAGGCACTGTGTCACCAGAATGCCTTAAGATTCCAAGACATGTAATTCAGAAAGTCTCACCCCCACCCCCACACAAGTCACACCTCCCAGAGCTAACTCAGCAACTCCATGGATTCTCTTGATTGCCACAGTCAGCTCCAGAAATTTCCCCACAAAAGGTAAACGCCATCCTCACTTCAGAAAGCTCCCAATACTCTGAAGTCCACCCTCCACCAAGAAAATCCCCATTCCCTTCCCTTTTGCCACCCTGGCTTCTAATCCCACCCCCACCCCCCCTTGATCCGGGAAGCCACCCCCACTAGCAGGAAGTGCCATCCCTGGTCCTTCCTAGGGGCAGAGGGCGACCTGGGTGATACTGACAGGGTTCTATCTCTGCAGGAACTCTGAAGAGGCTGATGGTGGAGAGCTGGTCCTAGGGGGCTCAGACCCAACACACTACATCCCACCTCTCACTTTCCTGCCAGTGACTATCCCCGCATACTGGCAGATCCACATGGAGCGGTGAGGGTCAGGGATCCCTAGTCTGAGGGAGGAGGAACTGGGGGCCTGGACTCCTGGGTCTGAGGGCAGAGGGAGTCAAGGGATCAGAACCCTGGGTCTGAGGGAGGCGGGGCTCTAGTGAATGGTATTCCCTTCACAGTGTGAAGGTGAGCACAGGGCTGAACCTCTGTGCCCGGGGCTGTGCCGCCATCCTGGACACTGGTACGTCCCTCATCACAGGACCCACTGAAGAGATCAGGGCACTAAACTCAGCCATTGGAGGTATCCCCCTGTTCACCGGGCAGGTGAGGAGCTGGTTTGATGGGCGTGGGCTAGGAAGGCTGGACGACATCAGGCAGAATTCTAAAGCCCTAGGAAGTTCTGAAGGAGCCGTTGGGCTGCTAACCTTAAGGTCAGCAGTTTGAATCCACCAGCCTTTCCACGGGAGAAAGATGAGAGAGGCTTTCTGCTCCCATTAAGATTAACAGCCTGGAAAACCTTATATAGGGTCACTCTGAGTTGGAACAGATTCAACAGCACACAGCTGCAACAGCAGCAGTAGGGAGTCCTGGTGGTGCCATTGGATAAGCACTGGACTGCTAACTGAAAGACTGACAGTTCAAACCTACCGATTGCTCCTTGGAAACCTTATACAAGATCACTATGAATCAGAACCAATTTCACAGCACTTAACAACGACAACAGGACGGTTGCAGGTGTTTAGGAAGTATCCAGAGCCAAACGGTGGGGTCCTAGGAGTGACACCTTCCAACTGTCTGCCCTGAGTGACTCAGTGGATAGAGCAGCCAGTGGGTGGTTAAGGGAGGAGAGAGCGTTGAAGCAGGTTTGTGAAGCATGGCATGTGACTGAGAGGCTTAGGGGGTGTGGAACATTTTGGGGAAGTATGGAGGAAGCTCAGGAGACATATTTAGAGCCCCCCAGCCCTCAGGAGTCCAGGTGTGGCGCTGTGGGTTAATGCACCAGACTGCAAAGCCATTTGAACTGCAAGGTCGGTGGTTCAAGCTCACCAGCTGCTCCTCGGAAACCCTATACAGGGTTGCTATGGGTCGGAACCGACTCGATGGCACTTAACAACAACAACAAAGCCCTTAGACATAGTCTTGGGTGGTACAAGATTACTGTGCTAAGCTGCTGATCCATAGGCTGGAGGTTCGAGTCTACCCAGAGGAACTTCAGTAGGAAGGACTGGTCATGTGCTTTTTGAAAAGCCAGCCATTGAAAACCCCCCGGAGCACAATTGTACTGTGGCACATACGTAGAGTTGACTTTGAGGGCAACTGGTTGGCCCTTAGGCCTTAATGACAGGCATGGAAGTGAGGAGCTCTCAGGAGAGGGAAAAGACACCATGAGTGATTGCAGGAGATAATTCCAAGGATTATTACAAGGGAGGGGAAGAGGAGACAGGGCGGGAGCTGCCCTGGGGAGTGACGTTCCTTCCTTGGAAAGAGTATCCAGAAGCCTGGAGAGTCAGGATGTTGGATGAAGCTGGTCCCTGCAGGGCTTCAGGAGGGACCGGGCCTTCCCAGGTGCCAATTTTTGGTGACTCAGTGGTATTATTCTCACCTTCCTTGCGGGAGTACCAGAATGGATTCTCGCCCAAGCGCCTTATGCATAACCACAGCTCATCTGTCGTGGCAAGCTTGTGGGTAGAGAAATCCAAAACTTTATTTGAAAACATGATTGATGAACAATAAATAAATAATAGCACTTACTATGCATCAACTGCAAGGTTGGTGGTTCAAGCTCACCAGCCGCTCCTCAGAAACATTATACAGGGTCGTTATGGGTCAAAACTGACTTGATGGCACTTAGCAATAACAACAATGTCTATGTAGCAAGGAATTCTGGTGGCTCAGTGGGTTAAGCATGGGGCTAACCTCAAGGTCCAAACTCACCAGCCACTTTGTGGGAGAGATGCAACTCTGCTCCTGTAAAAATATATAGTCTCAGAAAACCTCATGACGCAGTTCCACTCTGTCTTATAGGGTTGCTGAGTCCAAATCAATTCCATAGCTGTGGGTAACAGGTATCTATGCCAAGCATTCTTCCAAGATTACTCATTTACTTCCCACAGAATCCCTATAGGGTAATTACTGTTGTCACCTGCATTTTCAGAATAGGCATTGGGGGCACAGAGAGGTTAAGGAACTAGCATAATGTTGTACAGCAGATAAGCAGGAGAAATGACATTTGTACACAGGACATAATCTGTACCACTGTGGTATACAGTTGCTAACATATTTTAAAAACAAACAAGATACAGCTTTATTTTTATTTATTTGGAAGTACAGGGTCACATTTTACTTTGTGAATTTTACACTAATATCACCACATGTATTCAAATAATGTTTTCCTTTTTTTTTTTTTTAAGTTTTTATTGTGAATTGAGTGAAAGTTTACAGGGCAGATCATCAGTTTTACAATCCACAAATCATATACTTTGTTTCATTACAATGATAATAATCCCCTCCATACACCATCAGTTAACAGTATTTCTCTCTATTCATTCTAGCTCTTTTAAAAAAAACCCTCAGACATATATAATAATTTACACCACCAAAGGGCACATTGTGCAAGTCTGCCTCCTGGCCGCCTGCTCTCAGTCCCTCTCTTCCCATGAATCTAGAGTCCTCAGCTGCTCTCTCTCTCCATGTCCGTATTTCTGCCTCCATCTCTGGTGTCACTGCTTCTCTGGATAGGGTCCCACATTCCACTCGTGCTCTTCTCCTTTACAGTGTGGTTTTTAAATACAAAACAAACATCTGTTTTATGGAGAAACGATACTTCATATCTATAGACAGCCCATCTTTCCCAAATAGCCAAAATTAAAATGAATTACAAAATCTTCCAAAAAACAGAGCAAACTGCTTCAGTAATAAAAAAACATTAGATAACTGCGTGCTATAAAAAAAAAGGAAGAGGTTGTAAAAAGTTTGTGAAAAATGGAATTGAACAGTAATGAAATATTTCCATGAACCTTTGAAGTCCTCTTGTACACTGTGGGCCCAAAGTGTTAAAGAACTGCATTTAGATAAGAGAATGGAAAAGAGGGTTTGGCAAACATGATCTAGGGATGAGAGACGAGGTGGTACGCTGAGAGGAGATAGCAGGGATTGGCCACTCAAGAATATCCAACTACCATCCATCTTTTCTAGTACATGATCGAGTGCTCGAAAATTCCAACACTTCCCCAAGTTTCCTTCCTCCTTGGAAGTGTCTGGTTTAACCTCACGGCCCAAGACTACATCATTCAGGTAAGTTAATGCCGTACTGGTGGAGTCCTGGTGTGGTGCTGTGGGTTAATGCGCTGGACTGCAAAGTCGGTTTGAACCGCAAGGTCAGTTGTTCTAGCTCACCTCGGAAACCCTATGCAGGGTCGCTATGGGTCGGATCCCACTCGATGGCACTTCCCAACAACAACAATGTCATAGTGACATCAAAGGGATGTAATATGATTGAGCTTAAGAATGTGGGGCTCGGACTGAGACAGTACGAGGATGGGTCACAGACAGAGACTTTTTTTCCACTGGGGTATGTACAGGGTCGCTATGGGTCGGACCCGACTCGATGGCACTTAACAACAACAACAAATGATGGGGTGAAGCTCCCATGGATGAGGCGGAGATCTGTTCATTTACATCCATCTCATCCCCTTGTAGATTGTTAAGCTTGGGACCCGCTTCTGCCTGTCCGGTTTCCAGGCTCTGGACGTGCCTCCACCCATGGGCCCTTTCTGGATCCTTGGCGACGTCTTCTTGGGGACCTACGTGGCTGTCTTTGACCGCGGGGACAAAAAAGTCAGCGCCCGAGTCGGACTGGCACGTGCCCGCCCTCGTGGGGCGGAGCAGAGTCGGGGTGGACCCACGCAAGCGCAGTTCTTCGGGTGACGCCCTGATTAGGCCCCCGCTACCCAGTCAAAAAAATCCTCTAGTTCATTGCACTTACTTCGGTCACATCTTTTTTTTTCAAGGGCATGCTTTTTGGAGAGAAAAATTATTGCTAGGACCTCCGGAGTTGTATAAGAGGAGGGGAAAGAAGCCCTTTTCTCCAGGGCTCACGTGTGTGGCGGTGGTGATGGGAGGCTTAGGGGGTGTGGAACATTTTGGGGAAGTA